GGTAAGAGAGTTTAAATATGCACTGGATCCAAACCTATTATTTATTTAAAACTTTAAAAAACATTTTATCTTCCTTTCCATTCCCTTCACAACCATACAGACCCTACCGCTGCCCTTCTCTCTGATCTTCAAGTCTTTATTCTCTTTCTATTTCGGTCCATCCATTAATAGTAGCGGCGGCAGCAATATCAATCAAAATAATAGTTATAATGAAGCAATAATGATAAAGCAATATCCCCCACCCCCAAGAATCGGTAAGGCCAACCTTGGCCACAGTGATAGTCTAAGGAGTAGTCTGTTCACTACTGTCATCAAACACATACCATCTTAACGACAAAACAAACAAACAAAAACGACTATGAATTCATACCTCCCAGACTACCTCAAGCCCAAACTTCTCAAGCTTCAGATCCAGCTTCCTTCTAGGCATCATACCCAGGTGAACCACACATACCTCTCACTCCACAGATCCCCAAACCAAACTCATCCTCTCACCTCGCAGACCTCCACTCTGCCTTAGTCCTAGGTAAGGGGAAAAGGCACCACCCTCCACTTGGGTATACAAGCCAGGTACATGGGAGACACTCTAGCCTTCCTAGTTCCTCACTTCCCCCATCCAATCGGTCAGCCTGTTATGTTGATTTGACTCTCGATCTGTCTTCTCCAGTTCCACTGCCATTGTTTTAGTCGGGGCAGAGGTTCATCATCTTTCTCCAGGGCCACTGCCTCCCAGCTGCTTTACTCGCCTTTGGTTATGTTTCCCTCTAAACCCTCCTCTACCAGCTTCCGGTATGGTCCATCCAGAGTGTGGCTCTGACCTTGTCATCCCCTTGTCAAAGATCTATTAAGGTTTCCCAATTGCCTCAAGTAGTGTGGTCCCCTCATTTCTCCCGCACAGAGTCATTCCCTCCACTGTCTAATTCCTGAACTTCGTTATTATGGATACGTTTCTATCAGTGCATCCATCACACGTCGTTATGATTACTTGTTTACCTCCCTCACTAGACCGTGGTCTTTTATCTTATTGCTCTTTTTATCTACAGAGCCCCAAATAGTACCTGGCCCACGGTAGTTTCTCTAAAAGAATATATCGAATGGACTGAAAAGATGGAGCATGGTTTCCTTTCTCTTGCTGCTTTTTCTCTGTGCAGCTCTAGGATAAGAGGTGGGAGAAAGTGCAGCCTTGGGCGGAGTGGAGGCGGGAAACGGGGCAGTTCTCTGGGTTGCATTGGTTGTGAGAAGCCTGGGGAGGAGGGCACAGTGCTAAGAAGGCTTTAAGTGTCACCATTCAGGCATCTCTGTAGGCTGGCTGGTGGGAGTGGTTCACGGTCAAAGCTGGGGCACAGCTCTAGCCTAGACCCGTGAGAGGCTTTTGCTTCTACATTGCTTCTCAAATTTGAGTGAATATCAGAATCACCTAGAGGGCTAGTTCATGGCAGATTGCTGGGCCCTACTCCCAGAGTGTCTGATTCCCCAGATCTGGGACAGGACCCAATACTTTGCCTTCCTAACAAGATCCTAGATTATACCAGTGATGTTGATCTGGGGACCACATTTGGGAATCATTGCACTAGAGGGATATCTGATATTAGACCCATGGCTCTCAGCTTTGGTAGTGTTAAAAATACAGATGCCCCGACTTTACCTACACGTGGGTTGGTCTTATGTGACTGGACGTAAGGATTTGGGCTCCAACTGAGCAGAACATTGGTTTAAGGCTCATTTAGAAAATGTAATGAATTGATGAATTTATCAAAGTTTTATTGAGCATTTTCTATGTGCCAGGCATTCTGTCAGTAATGGGTATGTAGAGATGAACAAGACAGTTCCACGCCCAGGGAGCCATGCAGGGCAGATGTATAAAGAGTTCTAAAATGACCGGGGAGAGAAATGATGGTATTATACACGGAGTATTATAGAAGCACTAAGAAAGAGCATCTAATCCAGCTTAGGGCAGAAGGAGGAAGCTCAGGAAGGGGTAGAGAGATGATGAAGTGAAAACCCACTTCAATATTTTCAGAAATCTCGATAGTTTAGCTTCCAGGTGAAATATGGGCCTTTATTGAACTCAAGGCATGGTGTGAAGAACTTCTACCTAAATCCAAATCCATGCTTCACCTTGGACCAACCACCTAACCTCTCTTTGCCTCACTTTCCCCATGTTTAAAAGGGGCTAATAATAGTATCTCCCTTGTGGAACCGTTGGGAGTTCTAAATGACACAGTGTACGTGGAGTGCTTGGTAGAGAAAGGGGCTCAGACATCATGGCCACAGCCCATGCCCTCAGATCAGCTCACAGGCTAGTAAGCACTTGGTGAATGTCATCATTATTATCATCATTTCAGAAGGGCTCTGTCAACCTCCAGTGAGGCCTGTCATCACTGGGAGTTTGGATCCTTGTGACCGTGCAGTAGAGCAGACACGCAGGTGGGCCCTGGGATGCACGGGGTTCCATCCCCTACGCTACGTGGCCCAAACGCCCACAGCTTTAGAGCTCTTGTGTCATTTTTCCAGTTTGTATGTTCTTCCTCTGTCAATGTACTTGTCCTTGGCAATTTTTTCCCCCACCTCTTTAAAATGATTGCTCTTTATTTACCACAGACAAGAAACCCCCAAAGCCAAGATTGTGTAATTGTGTCTAACTTATAGCTAGACTTCAAATGGGAAACATGTATTTAAATAAAGAAGGTATGATTTAGTGCATGTCATGTTTTGACATCGGAGGCTTCCAGGTGTTCCTATTCACCTGCATCTGAGTTGCCCCAGTGTCCACCTTCTACAAGTCCCAAACTGTCCTCCCTTTTAGGCAGTATTTATGTTGGCTAAATATTGACACAAAGAAGTCATAAATGTGGCATGCTCACAAACACTGCGGCAGCACACTGAGCAGATGTTCTCACGTTTACGAGTTGGTTCTCATTTATGGGCACTCGTAATGACACTTGTTTCCGTGGGCAGTGTGCTCATCTGTCCTTGTCAGGATGGTGGTAGGTTCCGGTTCAATGTTTCTTGACCTCTGCAGCACATTGGCATCACCGAGAGAGCATTTAAAAATTCCAGGGCCCAGGGCAATCACCAAACCAATTAATTCAGACCCTCTGGGGGTGGGACACAGGCGTCAGTGGTTTTTAGAACTCCCTAGGTGATTCTAGGGTGTTGCCGAGTCTGAGAACTTGTTCCCCAGGCCAGTGCTTCTCAGACTTTGACACACGTAGGAATCACTCGAGGATTTTGTTAAAATGCAGATTGATTCAGTGGGTCTGGGTGAGCCGGAGATTCTGCATTTCTAGCAAGTGCCCAGGCAGCGTGGATGCTGCTCCTAGTCCACACACTACACTTTGGGTAGCAAGACTGGAGTCCTGTCTAGTGCCTGTTCGTCAGCCTTGAAAATAATTTTCCAGAAGTCATTGGTCTTCTTAAGTTTTTTCTACCTTTATCAATTGGGTCTTCTACTTCTCGCCCCCTCTCTATCATTCTGCCGATACCCAACAGCCAGGCTCTTATGACAAAGTCATCTCACTATTCATCGGCACTCTCTTTTCCTCTAGACAGTGATTCTCTTAAAAGCAACTCACAATAGAATAGAGAGTCATCTGGCTAAACCTAAGCAGATTTTTCTGTGGATCTTATTTTTCTGTCTATAAACAAAGCTCATTGAGAGCAAGAACATGTCTCCCAGTCTAAGCAGACTCTTTGAACATTGTGTAATTTAGCAAATGATAATAACCCGGTATCTTCAGTTATTCCTGCTCCAAATACATTAGTTGCAAACACTGGGTCTTCAGTTCAAAGAAATCATTAATGATGACAAAAGGATTGGGGGAAAGCACAAGGCAAAAAAGTAATTTTCAGTTTTCAGAATTGGCTAGGATTCTATATTACAGTACCTTGGAAAATGTAATCTCTTGGCCAAGATTCTATTGGCTTTAGAGCAATGTTTGTCAAACAGTTATCTGTGGACCCTGGTCTGTGGACATGTTCTTGGGGGATTCAAAACGTTCCTCGTAGGCTTTTTAAATAGTATAGTTAATGCTGATAATAACTTAAAAACTAATATAAAGCACATTGGGTAATCAGGATGACCGAGGGCTAGCACATGATGTTAATGCCTGAATTTGTATGTCTATTTATGATTGTACATATATGCTGAATGGACAAACTCTAATTGTTGCAGGCTAATGATAAAAGGACAAAGAACAGAGGGAGGTTTAACATAAAGTTCATGCATTTTAGCCAAGAGAAGGCCCAACTGTATTACAGGGAGTCCTACGAACAAAAGTTTCTCAGTAGTTTGGATAGAGAAAGATGATAAAACTAAGAAGTCACACACCACATCAGAACTTAAACATGCTGCAACTCAAAAGGAAGCACAGCATAGCAATCAGGACCATTTTTGCACGGAGTGTGACCGTTTAATCCCAGCAAAATAACATTGTCTATTACACTAAATCAATAGCATACATTTGCACATCATTGACTTGTATTTTACTTGTATTTAATTTTTGTAAATTTGTTTTGATCATGTAGCTGCTTCAAAACTCCAAGCATCATACATATTAAGTTTGAACATATTCAAGTCACTTTCTGATGCAAATAATATGATTTTTTGTCCCTTAAAAAGGTTTTGTATTTACTTACTTAGAAACACAGTCTTGGAACGTATTCATTCCTTGTGCACATGTTAAATTCCATTAGTATTTTCTAAAGTGTCATAGTGGCCATATTGTAACATCATGTTCTCCATTTTAAGACACTGTTACGGGGACACTATTGGGAACATAAGCTCAGTTCCTAGATTATATTTTTATATTAGTTGCAAATGTTATAGCAGATATTTTCCAGGGAAAAACTTCCTGCTCAGAAGTAAAGCCTGACGATGACATTTTCAGACTGCCGGGTTGTGGACGGTCCAATGTGACAAGTCATTAGTGAGTAATAGTGGGCCCGTGAGAGAGCCTGGTCATACCTATGATTTGGAGAGAAAAAAAAAAAGTGCTTACAGGCTGATGGGCCTCGGGCTCACCGGTCCCTGACAGGTGGACGACAGGCTGCACGGCTGCGGAGGATTGGGTGCCTCCTTTGGGCAGTTGTCGACTGCCTTCTGACAGGGAGTAAGACTGGCTCTGAAGATTCAAAAGAGAAATATATAAAAATGCTAGATCATTCACAAAAAGCTAGTTGCCCCATGGGGTCGACTTTCAAGGGATAAATGTCCTCCTAACTGCTAATGCGGGGGCAAAATATTGTTCCTGAGGTCATCTGCATCGATCAGAAGTATTTCAAAGTAGATTTTAGTTTCTCTGAAAGATATTCTTGAATGGAAGGATCATAATCTTGGCTAGTATAAAAATATTACTTGCTGATGATTTAAAAAATAACACCTCTCCAAAGAAGATATGTGTAGGTTTGCAACCATCTGAGTGCAAATTTAATTTATACCAAAAGAAAAAACAGTATGAAGAAAGTTACAGTTTACAGAAAATCTTGGAGTTTATTCATTTTGCTGCTAGTATATACACATAAATCATTCTTGCGGTGGGAAGCTACAGTAGGTGCAGCAAAACCTTAATAAACATTCTTATTGTAACAGCTTTAGCTATGCATTTTTAAATGTAAAACATTAAGATTTAACTCTGACCTGCCTTATGCATAGTTGGTTCTAAATGGTAGTGTTTTGGTTCATTTTTAGTCGTTAATAGTTTATAGACACAGTATTTAGGCGAGCCTAGACATTTCAGAAGAAAAATATTGAGTCCAGTTCATGGATATTTGAAAGTATCTGGATGTTTGATGCTTAAATAATACTGGAATGTTTTCACCTTTCAATCCAAGTTATATAGCCCTGTGAGAGTATTTTTATCTTGGTCTAGTGATATTTACAATAAGAACTTGAAGTTTTGTGCAACTTTGCTGCGAATGACCAACTTAGTCATATATTTCACAAATACATATTAACCATTTTGCTCTCTGCAAGGCACTGTGGACTTCCTTGTTTTAAACACTTTTTTTAGCCCCTCCTCAGAGATTTTTCACTAATGGAGAAAAAAATATATTCCAAATGCATGTTAAAAGCGTGGCATGCTCTTGTGAAAACCAGTAATAAAAGGCAGTCATAATGATAAAGTATAAAAGTATCAATCATGATTTCATAGTTTAACTTTCTCCACAGTCTAACCAAATTAAAACTTTGTTCGATTCCCAAAGGCAATAAATACTTACATGACGATTGCCCATTTTCGTTTTTCTGAGATAGTTGTTCTGTATTTCATTAAGAGATCAGTTCTTCTAAAGGCCAAGTTGATAATGGTTTTCCCAGGACATAATATTTCTAGAGTTTAATAAGTAACTTTTGGCATCGAATTTGAATACATTGTTGGAGATGGATAGGGAGTGGCTAAAGCTACAAACGAGCTTAACCTGTCCTAGCTGCCTTGGCAGGCCATCTTTTTAAAAGAAAATATTTATTAATAAATCAAGTGTAGGCTTTTTAAGCTGAATAATTTATTTACAACAAAAGGGCTAACCCTATCTCGCTTCTGGATTATCGAAAAGAGTTATTCCTTTTTTATTCTGGGTGTTCATTTAAAATTTTATACTTTGTAATAATGAAAGTGTTAACCAAACAAGATTGAAAATCTTCCTATTTTAATGACATCACTGTCATTAGTACAGAGAATCTTTTGGGGGGCTACACTGAGTTATGCTAACATCATTTTTATAATTTAGCTGGTTTTTAAATTGAAAAGTAATATGTACAGATGGTAAAATTTTTTTCTAGTAATATGAAACGGTATCATGAAAAGTAAGTCTACTGACTTTCCAGTTTCTCTCCCCGTGATTTCTTCTGAATTCTTCCAGAAATGGTACATAGACACAGCCATTTCTGTCTGTCTCTCTATTTATCTGTCAGTCTTGGTCTGTCTGTCTGTCTAGCTAGCTATCTACCTACGGATAGCCTATTTTTTCCTCAACAAATGAGTTTGTACAATGCATTCTACTCCATGCTTTGTAAGCTTTGTATGTACTAGAGAGATACATGCCACGGACACATTATTTTTCCAGTGGCTGCTTGGTAGTTTATTATGGGAACAAACCAAACCTTATTTCATCAATCCACTATTTAAGGTAGGTCATTTAGGTCATTGTGGTCTCCTGTGTGAATCTTTGCATATGTGCCCCTATTTATCTATAGAAAAAAAATCTTAGACTACAGTTGCTGGCCAAAGAGTATATGCATTTAAAATTCCAATAGATGTTGCCAATTTGCCCTTTGCACAGACATAAAAATGCTGAACCATCCTCAAAGGCCCATGATGCAGATTTTCAAAAGACAAACGTATATCCCTGCATTTTGATATAACAAGATGTCAGTGTTCATCTCCCCACACACTGGCTAACACTAAACGTTATCAAAGTTTTTCATTTCTGCCAATTTCAAAGATGAAAAATGATTATCTCACTACTTAACATACATTCTTTTCCTTTGATATTCTTAAAATGATATATTCCATTCCTTAAAAGCCATTTGCATGAATTTTTCTGTAGTCTGCTTATGTCCTTTATTTTTGTTTTGAGTTAGTTGTCTTTTCACGATTTATTTGTAATAAAACTTGGTTTATAAGGTCTAGTCTTTTGTCACGGGTAACAATGATTTTTCCCCAATTTGTCGTATGTCTTTTGTTTCAGCATGTTTTGAGTGTGTATGTGTGTGAAGAAAGTGTTAGTGTTTATGTATTTATCTTTCTCCACAGTCTAACCAAATTAAAACTTTGTTCGATTCCCAAAGGCAATAAATACTTACATGACGATTGCCCATTTTCGTTTTTCTGAGATAGTTGTTCTGTATTTCATTAAGAGATCAGTTCTTCTAAAGGCCAAGTTGATAATGGTTTTCCCAGGACATAATATTTCTAGAGTTTAATAAGTAACTTTTGGCATTGAATTTGAATACATTGTTGGAGATGGATAGGGAGTGGCTAAAGCTACAAACGAGCTTAACCTGTCCTAGCTGCCTTGGCAGGCCATCTTTTTAAAAGAAAATATTTATTAATAAATCAAGTGTAGGCTTTTTAAGCTGAATAATTTATTTACAACAAAAGGGCTAACCCTATCTCGCTTCTGGATTATCGAAAAGAGTTATTCCTTTTTTATTCTGGGTGTTCATTTAAAATTTTATACTTTGTAATAATGAAAGTGTTAACCAAACAAGATTGAAAAATCTTCCTATTTTAATGACATCACTGTCATTAGTACAGAGAATCTTTTGGGGGGCTACACTGAGTTATGCTAACATCATTTTTATAATTTAGCTGGTTTTTAAATTGAAAAGTAATATGTACAGATGGTAAAATTTTTTTCTAGTAATATGAAACGGTATCATGAAAAGTAAGTCTACTGACTTTCCAGTTTCTCTCCCCGTGATTTCTTCTGAATTCTTCCAGAAATGGTACATAGACACAGCCATTTCTGTCTGTCTCTCTATTTATCTGTCAGTCTTGGTCTGTCTGTCTGTCTAGCTAGCTATCTACCTACGGATAGCCTATTTTTTCCTCAACAAATGAGTTTGTACAATGCATTCTACTCCATGCTTTGTAAGCTTTGTATGTACTAGAGAGATACATGCCATGGACACATTATTTTTCCAGTGGCTGCTTGGTAGTTTATTATGGGAACAAACCAAACCTTATTTCATCAATCCACTATTTAAGGTAGGTCATTTAGGTCATTGTGGTCTCCTGTGTGAATCTTTGCATATGTGTCCATATTTATCTATAGAAAAAAAATCTTAGACTACAGTTGCTGGCCAAAGAGTATATGCATTTAAAATTCCAATAGATGTTGCCAAGTTGCCCTTTGCACAGACATAAAAATGCTGAACCATCCTCAAAGGCCCATGATGCAGATTTTCAAAAGACAAACGTATATCCCTGCATTTTGATATAACAAGATGTCAGTGTTCATCTCCCCACACACTGGCTAACACTAAACGTTATCAAAGTTTTTCATTTCTGCCAATTTCAAAGATGAAAAATGATTATCTCACTACTTAACATACATTCTTTTCCTTTGATATTCTTAAAATGATATATTCCATTCCTTAAAAGCCATTTGCATGAATTTTTCTGTAGTCTGCTTATGTCCTTTATTTTTGTTTTGAGTTAGTTGTCTTTTCACGATTTATTTGTAATAAAACTTGGTTTATAAGGTCTAGTCTTTTGTCACGGGTAACAATGATTTTTCCCCAATTTGTCGTATGTCTTTTGTTTCAGCATGTTTTGAGTGTGTATGTGTGTGAAGAAAGTGTTAGTGTTTATGTATTTAAATACATCAAACTTTTTCTTCCTTGGCTTGTTTGGAAAAACATTTCAGCACTAAGATGATTAAAACTTCTTGTGCATTTTCTTCATATCGTTTTAATGACTTCATTTTTTAAGGCTCACATCTTCGATTCATTTGGAATTGATCTTGATGTAGAGTAAGGAAACAATGGATTCGGCTTTCGTTTTGGTTTTTCAATGGATCCTAGGTAATTAATAAATAATTCATCTTTCTTCTTCTGGTCTAAGTTGCCATCTTTATTTTATGCCAGAATTCCCATGTAACATAGTATCAAAATTCTGATCGGTTAATTCAATTCTGATTGTATCTATTCATTCTTTTTGTTCTTTAACCTTTACCTGTTGAAAGCCTTGGATGTGCTGATTGCTGGGACTGCGACAGTGGATAAGATGGATATGAATCGTCTCCTTCTAGAATCGCAGTCAAGTGGAGGGGAGCTATCCAAGGAACAAAGCATCACGAATTGTTGTCTGGCTATGAAGATAATAAACAGGATGCTGTGATAGAAGCTAAACTGTGTGTGTGTGTGTGTGTGTGTGTGTGTGTGTGTGTGTGTGTGTGTGTGAGATTTATTTTCAATAGAGATAGTATTCTTTATGGAACTAACATTTAAGTTATGAAACAAAGGAGGAGAAGGAGCCCATCATTTGAAAAGAAAAAGCGTTCTAAATCAGTGTGTGCTAAGGCTCAGTAATAGGACAGAGCTTTGTAAATGAGAAGAAATGAAGGATGGTCAGAGATTGGAGTCTACCGTGTGCCAGGCAGGATGATAGGTGGTGGAAATACAGTGAGAAACAAGACAAAACTCCCCTCCAGAAACTGACAGTGGAATGGTGAAGAAGACCAAAAAAAAATGTAAGTTGATATCTAATGTTTTGACCCTTCAGATCATTTCTTCAGTATCTAATTTGTGCTCTAGAGTTCACTGTCGCTTTTTCCCAGCCCCAGACTTCTCAGAGACAAGTCCTCTCTGCCCCGCCTTGGTGCTGGCTTCGGAACAAGGTTCTGCATCACTAACCCCTCCTGGAACACTGATCAGTGACATCTCGCTCCCTCCCTTCCTCTCCTGCCCCAGGCTGTTGAAGCTCAAAGTTCAGGAGGAACAGAACAATTTGATGTGAGGTGTTCTATGTGGAGATAAGTTGTGTTCCGGGGTGCTGAGTTACTGAGCACAGAAAATGCATAAAGAAGAGATACGTATCGTTTATGGCTCCAGGGAGGTGAAAGATACAAAGCTTAGAGGCCAGCTAAGAACCAAACTTTGCCCATAGTCAAGTTTGGATTTGACTGAAACACAACCACTCCTGCTGTCACCTCCTGTTTTGTTCCTTCCCCAGGTGGCTGGCTATGTAGGAAGGTGGCTGGGATAATTCCAAGCAGCAGCAGGGGTAGGAAGGGGAAGTCCTGTGAACCCAGGTCATTTCTGGGAGGATGTCATGGCTGGAGGCCGGGAAGGGAGAAGAACTGCCTGGGAAAGAAGAGTGAGAAGACACAATGGGAGAAGAGATGGCACGTGAAGAGTAATGGGAGGGGTTCAGCGTTTCTGACATCGTTATAAGTACGTAGTGATTCTCAATGATCACAGGTGCTGTGTAATCTCTTCCTGAACTGGACTGGGCCTGTTTATGCACAGCTCTTGGGTTCCGGTCATTCTCAATGTGATGATGCTGTAGCCAAAGTTCTCATCTCCTTCTAACTTTGCGAGTCTCGATAGCAACTCAAAACTCAGTCTTGCCAGAGTCTTCCCTTCTGTACTGCCCACCAAGGTTAAGTTTCTAACACTTCTTAAAAACGTTATGTATACATCTGTAAGGGGGTAAATCATATCTCCCTGAAAGGCACGTTGAGATCCTAACCCTTAGTACCTGTGAATGTGACTTTGTTTGGGGAAAAGA